TCCGATCCGAGACTCGTTGTATTATTTTATAAGGTCCAATGTATGGTGCTTCAAGAGGTGCCTTGACATGATCACATCGTACGAAGACGTGTGAACATGTGTCCTAATTATTATGCGGGAACAATAATATTAATTAAAACGTAGTTATCGAATACGTAATCGAGAATAATATTCGAGTGAGCACCATTCCTGCTGTTCATTGAATAAAAACATTAAAATAATTTGATTTTTGAATAAAAAAATGGTTTTCTATTTTTTTTCAACATGGCGTACCATTTATTAATATTCGTAAAAGTCATAATTCCACAGGAAATTGGATGAGGAGTTCAAAAAAAATAGTTTCATAATTGTGCCAGAACTCTATCATAGTTAAAAATTAAAATTAAAAAAAAAAAAACGCCATTTTTTTCGAGGTTTTTATGAACCAATATAGCTCATAATTTTTTTTCCTAGAAGCTACCATCATCCCCCAAAACATATTAAAAATTCAAATCAATCGGCTCACGGGTTTCTGAGAAAATCATTTTTTTCTGAATTTCAGCTTTTTTCGATTTTCTCGAAAACGGTATTAGATGAAGAGCTGAAACTTGCAGTATCGAAGTATCTTATAAGTACCAACATACCCTGAAATTATAAGCCAGATATCTTTCTGGGGCCGATTCACTATACTTATCGGCCTATGGCCTTTTGTCTTTTATTTGTAATAATTCTGTCCTTTATATTATACTAAAATTGATGGTAGAAGTTAGCTAGAATTGAAGTTAGCTTAGTATCGAAAACATGGACCCTGATTCCTTATTGGTTGAGATTTAGATTGAAGTTAGCTTAGTATCGAAATAACGTTCAGAATTAGAGCGCGCGCGTATGCGCGCAATTTAAATTCCTAATTTAATTTAAAATACAAGTGACATCAGGTGATTCTATAATGGTCTGCCATATGTGTTTTTCTAAACTAGTGGCGACAAATAATCAAAACAATATGCTTACAGACAAGTAAATAATAAATTGGAAGAAATACAAAAAAAAAAAATGAATGAATGATTGACTATGAATAAGAATAATAAAAATAAAAGTGTGCATCTCTAATGAGAATAGTTGTTCTTTGAGTAAAATTTTGGTCAATTTATTTTCATTGTAAATATGAACAGTTGTTGATTGTTTTTAACAATTGAATTAATAATCTAGAAGTTTTAAAAACTTTTTGTCTATTTAATGAAAGAAAATAATCTATTTCAGTGGAATAGTTTATATGTACTTATAGCATTAGTAAATCTCATGAGTACGAGAACAATATAGATCAATATGTACAAACCAGTATTTCATGCATAAGTTTATCCTTATGTATACATATATACATGTTATATTGATGTAGATAAATGGAAATTTCAGGTTTAATGTATAGTTTATGGGCTATCGCGTTTTCTCCCTCTGGTCATAGCGACACTACTGAACCGTGAGTAAAGTAAGTACGTTCTCCCTGTTGCTATACGAGATGAAAATATCCTCCGGCAATTTTATCAAACTTTGTACCTTTTTTTATACCCAAAATTTAATCTTGATGGTTATTATTTTTAATTGAAATTTTACTATATAAATAAATAACTTTTTATTTGTTTAAAAAACAAAAAAATTTTCAAATAAGTACCAATGTCAATATGTATTTTTCCAGGACGCAATGTTTTTTTAATATTCTTTTGCAATATCAAAGTTATTGTTATAACTTCAAAAAATCTCAACTCTGCTGTTATTTTTATTAATTTTTTGTTAATTAATTAAATACAATAAATAATTTATAATATTTTTCACAACGTAATTTGAAGTATATTGTGGGATATAGAGACAGAAGTTGTCAAAGACAGTCGTAATTAAAAGTAGGAATAATTTTATTGAAATAAAAGCTCGTATTCATTATTATTATTATTATTATTATTACTATTCTCTTGATTATAAAAAATATAAAACAGAAGATAAAATCTCTTGAGAATTTATCGAGGTTGAAAAATTATTGCGTCGCATAAAATTCAATGACTATGGTATTGACAGTTGAATTGAGTTTCATGAAAAAATACAACTAAACCATAAAAAAGTAAAAGAAAAAAATAAAAAAAAGTTTAAAATAGTAGACTGAGGGGTAAATTGAAACATTTAATAACAATTTCAATAATGAAATTATAAAATTAGGTCACGACAATAACGTCTATGAATTTTTAAAGAGTGTCTAGACAATAAAAAATGTATAGGTACATCTTCCAGGACCGCGGAATCAACAGTAGTTACGTCAGATGAATTTTCTCGTAACTAAGACATCAGTAACAAGAATAACCGTTTCAGAATATCACCCCAATTAAACTCGCATTTCAATTGAGGTATCCAATCAAGCTGCTTCTCATTCGTATTTTTATATACATACATTTCATACACCTACACGTGCATCTATATACATTTCATCCTATATCTTTATCATCATCCATTATATCCAGTCGGATGCATCGCCTGAAGGATTTCATTGAGTTAGAGTCTGGCGATACAAATACCGCATCGATTAATCTGTCTATATATTCTTATCCCTGTACTTTTTCTTCATTGTTTAAATCTCTTCAAAAGATCTCATTGTATCTATCACCCGTCTCTATCTTCTTACAAAATATTCTGCAAAAACAAACGAACATCAATATTTTATCACACTATATTTTTTTTAATTATCTTAATTACTCGGCATTTTAATTAATTATTTTTCCTTCATACTAACTTTGAAATTTAATTAAAAATGAATAAACAAATTTTAAGTGTACGTGGATATAGACTTCACGGGATCAAAGACTCAAGATGGAGTATCAGGGATAAAGTCTATCAGTATAAGGGAGTATTAAAATTATACGGTAAGTATTTAACCAAAAAGTTGTTTTATCAATAGATTATGATTATACTTTTTTTTACAGGGAACCAGAAAAAAATCAAAGCAACCGAAGCAACAAGGCTACGCAAGAGGTTAGCTAAGGAAATAAAAACTTTGAGAGATGAAATTAAAGAGTACCGAGAAATTCTCAAAGAAGTTGAGAGTGGAGATCGGCGGCGCATGCATCAAGTGTTGCAGGCCGACAAAAATATTCAGTTGGCTTACCAAGATCGAAATCCCATTGTAGGATATGTTTTTGGAAATTATTCTAGATTACGGTCTCGTTTATTTATGGAAAATACACTAACTATTTTGTATTTTATTTATAACAATAAATTTGAAGAGTATAGATAGGACATTTGTACACTAATTAAAGAATTAACTTGATTTAAGAGGAAAAATCTTGAACCAAAAACATCATTTTGAAGAGTTTGATTATTTTGATTCAAGCAGAAAATAAAAATTCTTGAGCTACAAAATTGTTCTTGATTCAAGTAAATTTTGCTTAATTTAAGATTTTTTTTACTTGACTCAAAATAATCACTCTTCAAATTGATGTTCTTGGTTCAAGAATTTTTTTCAAGTTAATTTTTTAACTTTTCGCTGAGAGAATTGAAAATTTTCGAAAATGAGGAAGTTATTGGTTTTACCCCGTTTTTCGAAAATCGAATTTTCATCAGATCTCGACAGATAACTTTTGAATGGCTTGACCGATTTGATCGCGGTTGGTGCCATATGAATGGGCTTGGCCAAACTTGATTTTTTAAAACAATTTGGACTAAATTAAAAAAAAAAACATTTATTAAAAAGTAGTTTTTTTAGAATAACTTTTAAACAGCTTTACCGATCGATTCCAAAAACTATTTAGCTCTTAATATAAAAATCCACGTCGATCGTTGCCAGGCCAAATTTTGCCAAAATTTTCGGTCTGATCAATTTGTGTTTAAAAGTAAATCATAGAATTCGAAAAACTGCGTCGAATGCTAACAACTGCGTGAAAATCGATTTATTCATTCAAAAGTAATTGCAGTTTGAAAATTTAAAGAATAGTGTTTTCATAAACCTCTATCAGACTTGTGAGCTCGAAGAGCTCAAAAACATAGAACAGATAATTTTTTGAGCTCAACGAGCTCAAAATAGCACATAAACTATATTTTTGAGTTCGAAGTGCTCAAAAATTTCATAAGTGCAATTTTAAGAGCTTAGGTATAGAATTAGCGGGAAGTTGCAGGGATGGCTTTTAGGGTCAAGCGTTTTCCTAATTTTTTATATTGTTTTCATTAATGTAACGTTTTGATAGATTTTTTTATGTAAATTTTTCATTCAAAAATTCTTACGCTGAATAAAAATAAAACTCTTGTTAAAAATATTTCATTTTATACAAGATTAATTGGATTAACGGATTGATCAATAACAAAAATTTTTGTTTGATTGTTAAAAATAGGTCATTTGCAAGGTATTAAAATTTTATCTTCTTGGTAAAAATATTTGTGTTGAACGAACAAAATCGACTTGAATACTCACATTGATTTTTGTATTTCTTTTCAAAAAAATATTTTTAATTTTTTCAACCAAAAATAAGCAAAACTGTACATAGTCAATACTAAATTTTTGCATTTAAAATATTACTTTTAAGAAAAAATATTTCAAAAAAAATTGTGTGAATTTAAAAATAGTAGTACAAGGTTTCATAAAATTAAAAAAAATTTTTTTTAATTTTCAGTTTTAGCCTTATACAATTTCATACAAAGTGATAAAATTAAAAGAAATTTGAAATAAATATTTTTTCTCAGGTATCAATAGTATAATTTAAAAAAATTTTAATCAACTTGAAATGTAGGTCGTTTATGAAGCACTCAATCAGGACTGTAGTTTACGAAGGAAACAATTAGACGAGTGCTATTACCTGAAAAAAATTAAGATGAAAGAGTTCTTTGAACTGAAGGTATAAAATACCATTAATTAATAATAATCATAATAACATGATAATCAATCATTTTTACTTAGCTAGAATGCACGATTTTAATGAATAAATACGACGAGCAAAACGAATTAAGAGATCTTGATCCTCATCAACAAAAACTGGCGTCACTTTATCAAAAATATGTCGCTAATAGAAACGCTGCTGAATCGATTCGTAACACTTATTTAGCGATGATTAAAATATTGAAAAAGGTTCAATCAAACGGAATATGAATAAGTAATGAGATATTTATGAATTGATAAGAAGAATTTATTTTATTAGGACACAGTTTACTTCAATGCAATAATAAACGCTTTGAAAGAAGATAAAATGGAACAATGCAAGGTACTACTTCGTGCAATATTCATGGGTCAGTTAGCAGCGGAGGAGTTGGATGACACTCGAGAAAAATATAAAAAAATGGCTCGGGATGTTTGGAAAAATATGAAAGAAAGGGAAAGAACATTAAATATTCTACGTAGCCGGGTTGAGAACCTTTGGGCTGATATCCGAGAGCTTGTTCGAGTTGAGGTTCGTATATTGAATTTTATTACAATAATGTTACATTATATTGTTATCATTCATAGTAGTAATATTCATTTTAATTTAATATGATAGAGTGATCCAACATTAGAAGTGATGGATAGACAGCCAGCAGATAATGATGATGATGATGATGATGATGGATTGGAGCGACATATTAAACTGTTGGAGGAAACTTTTGATAAAGTTAAGGAAACTTTGATGGCACGATCTTATGATGAATTATTTGATAGGTGCTTTCGTTTTTGTTAATCTTTATATTCTTTTTTTCTTGATAATTAAATGCGATGATAATGAATGAATGAATGTTTGTATTAACGTTAGGATTGATTGATTTTTCAGATTTGAAGAACAAGCGAGGCAGAAAAAACATTTACTGAAAAAGTTAGAAGATAATCTTGAAGTACGTGAGTCATTGATAAATAAAAGAAATTGTGCTACTTTGATTCTGGCTGACTTGAATAATTCATTGATTTCAACTAGTGGAGAATATGATAAGCAAGTATTTTATTGTGTATTTTATTTTCATGATTATAAGTTGGAAATAATTTATATCGAATATAAAAAAATTTCTTAGAGAATTTTAATAAATATTATTAAACTTTACCCGATTATTTTCAGAACAAAATCAAACTGACTTTATGATTGAATGTATTTTTTATTTTAGGTACAAAGCTGATAAAAAGGAAATTCTAGAAGAAATAAAAATAGCAAAAAAACGCGAAGATGATTTTATAAAATCAGAAAAATCACGTGAAGAATTATTAATAAATATAAAATGCGCATTACAAAATATACTTGCAATGATGGTTTTTATCCGACCCGGTTTGGGAGGAGTTAAAAAATCACCACGTGAAAAAAAACGTGACAGGCGAAAAACATCTGAATCAAGCGATGGTAAAGCTTCTCGAAAATCTAAAGGTCAATTTATTGAACAAGTGGAATATCATTTAGAAAAATTCGATCCCGATGGTAACAACATACTAATTAACATAATTAACATAATTTTTCTTCAATGGAAGCATTAAAACAATATTAATATTAATATCTTTACTTTAAAGTTTTAACGCTACTCAATCAAGTAACAAAAAAAGCAAACATGCTTTTCGGATTATCGAACTTTGAAATGACACTAGAAGAAGAAGAGAAAGCTAAAAATTTATACCAAAGTTACGTCGCTGAAAAAAGATCTAAAATTTACTACGAAAATGATGTAGTAGAACAAAAAGAACTTACAGTTGAGCACGAAATCATTGATTTGTCAGTAATATCAAGAGCTGACATAAAAAATCAGAGCAAAAATTTAATTGAAATGTGTACGAGGCTCGATTAAATAAATTATTAAAAAATTTAATGAATTTTTTTTTATACACCCCAACATATGGAGGTGACGCAATTTCCTGATCTTAAAAAATACCCAACTCTATCGTAACCATATTACCTTTATTAGGGTAATATGAGTACATGTACATCAAGAAAAAAAAACTCTAAGTAACACGCTTTATATTTTGTAAAAAAAAAAAAAAATATTTTATTTGGCTATATAAGGTAAAAGACCCCATTAGTGGCACTTTTTCTTTTAATGAAAAAATGTTCTACTTGGAATAAAAATTAAAAATTTTTTTGATCTAAAGATCTTAAAAATTAGAAATAATACATTCATTATTGAAATTAATGATTTCATTAATTAAATAAGTATTAAAATCAAAGAAAGTGTCAGTAATGGGGTCCCCGCCACAAATGGAGTCTTTTACCCTATTAAGAAAAAACAATTTTACGTGGATGTCCGAATATCTTTATGTTGCTATATTTTGTTATGGAGTCATGATAACTCCCGGAAAAATGGATGTATTGAGACGGGATTTTTTTTATTAGCTTCAAAACTATAGCAAGTGGTTTTCTACTATAGATGGCTGTATAATTCGGTGTCGTTTAATATAATTAATCACTTCTTCAAAAGTCTCTATATTATAATGCTCGCAGCCGCTCGTCATACATCTTTATACTTGAGCTTTTCATACATCTTCAACATAAGAAATTTAGAAACTTGACTACTTTTAACTAATTTTTCAACTTTATTACACAACAGTTTTTAACAGCTATACAAAGCATTGATCTCGGATCTTTATAAAAATTTCTGAGTTTAAATTTGCCACCACTGCTCAACAATAGGCTTAACAAATATTCATTACCAATTTAAGCACTTGCACCAAGTGGTATCATACTATTATCTCAATTAATATTCACTTCAACATTTATTTCTAATAATAATTCAACAACATATTTACGATATAACTCAACAGCGAAATAAAGAGAATTATTTCTAAAAGTTCGACAAGTAGAAGTGGCAATACTTTTGAACATCATTTTAATTGTATTTAAATCATTATTTCTTACAGCTATATCTAAAAAAACATAGTCACTTTTTATATTTTTCAATATTTGTCTGTGGACTTCGGAGTCTTGTATTAAAAGTTTTGTTATATATGGGCTTTTTCCCTCGTAAAGAAAGCTGAAGTATACGTATTATAGTTACATCAATAAATTGATTAATTTTTTTCAATTACGTTAACAGATGTTATTTTTTTGACACTAAGAAAAATTTCAAACAATAAACAGTAATAATGAAATGATTAATTAAATGCATTTTTAGTGCACTTTTGTATTTTAAAAATTTTTAAGTTTTTTTTTTATTTATTGTACAATATAATAACGTATTAATTTTTACTTATTCAATATCATTAATTCTTCCTTGTTTCAATTGTTCTTTTGACAATTCTAATTTCAACCACGATGGCATATCTCTGTCGAAGGCATAAGCTCGTGGATACTTCAATGGTCGTTCAGGTCCCTTAAATGGATGCGTTTTCTGTAACTTCTTCATTAAGAAATCTTTGTTTATATCTTTAGGATCCCGATAACGATCCATGTATAAATTGAATGGTTGTCTGATGGGAAACCACTCTTGAGGACGAATGTACGGCGGTGGAAAATCGTACTCAAACTTTGGAGATTTCATTTCTAAAATTTTTTTTTAGTAACAAATATATTTCGCGATTACTATATATTACTGTATATTGATCTATCAATCATTATTTATCACCAATAGATGTGGATTAACTTACTTAAAGTATGATGGTAAAAATCTTGCAAGCTCTGATCCCACTCAGTTTGGAAAAATGCCAGGCTTGCTGGAGTTATAATATCTTGGTATTTACGGTAGAAGTCTATCGTTTTCCAGTTACGCTTTTCCAACTCTAAACTATGCAATAAAATTAATAATTAAATTAAATTAATTAATTTTTTTTCTATTTATTTAGTACTAGCATTTTCCAAAAGAATATGAAAAAGCACTCTCTTATCTGTGACATAAGTATTATATTAGTAAATAAATATTTACTTACCAAGGCGCCTCCTTGTGATATTCAGAAAAATCTATCTGTTTATTTTGCTTATACAGAATAAAAATATATCTGCATAATCCGATTCCCATAGGAGGGATAGGTCTCATATAATCAATCAAAAGATCGCCTTTGTCGATATCATTTCCCGGTATATTCCCACTGAAAGTTTACTTATTGATTATTAAAATTTATGTCGAGTAAATTGAAATAATTATTCAATTTTTGAGATTGAATCAAACTTACATGAACCAATGACAATATTCAAGTTCCCTGCTTGTAAAATTAGCATCAGGTGTAGTGAGCAACAAAGTCCAAAGAGAATCAGGTGCTGCTTTGTAGTTTATTTTAGGCACTTGTTGGGTATCTGATGCTTTTAATAAATTACCTCGGTGGACTGTTGGAATAAATTCATCGTTGTTATCATATTTTATATCCATCGGTAGTGAGGGGTAGAAGTATGCATCTCCGAATAAATCAGAGAAAATGTTGTAGTGTTCAGCAATGGTTTTTATTTGGTAAGGTGCTATTGTGGTCGACCAGTCCGTTTTTATGTCCTCCAAATCAAGTATCACTACAATTACAATTAAACAAATAATTTAACTATTTAAATTACAAAAGTACTGATGATTATTAATTTTTGTTAAGATCTGCTCAAGTATTAATTTATTGAGTATTAGAATTCCTCTGATACACAGTGAAAATTTTATAGTAAAGTTTATTATCTAGTTATAGTAAAATTTATTAACTGAATTTGATAGTAGCAAATATTATTTAAATAATTAAGTGAACAATCTGAATTGCAGTATTTACCATCCTGATAGCAACTGCTACTATTATGATGGTAATCACTTAATCAGTAATAATAACTTATATTATTTTAATTAGTTACTACTATTATCAAAATTGTAATTGATAATATAACCTGATGGTTGCAGTTACCATCAGTAATAATAATAGCTCTTATCTAAGCTAATAAAAACTATTTAAAAAATTAAGAATCTGCATTACTGTGGATGTATTTCTGAATAAACTACAAGCAGCTGTAGCGCAGTGTGGTGCACAAAAAAACATGATTAAATTGGGATTGAATTTATATTTAAATTTTTATCTGTCTGAAATAAGTTTCAACGCCAAATTTTTCAAAAAAATTTGAAGCTTCCAAAAAAATTAAAATTATCAATAAAATTCAAATTAAAAAAAAATATGGATATAAATAAAGGATTTATTTAAGTAAATTTATATTATTTTTTCTTTCAGAATTTTTAAAATCTGAGATGGTTACAATTACCATCTTCAATTATAACAGCTATAATTTTTAATAATTATAATTATCATTTTTGATAGTAATCGACATCATTATTAATAGTAACTATTATAATTGTCAATTAATTTTATTACCATTTCAGATAGTAAAAGTAAATATTTTTGTATAGTAGGTAGTATAATTAATTTTTGTCCGTGCAGGGCACGAGGCACGTGTCTATCATACACTGTATCCGTGCCTGTACCCGTGCTTCGCGCCCTGTGTCTCATCGGAGAAATTCTCACTTCCTAATTTATAGAACTTGTCAAGAATGCTGTTAAAAATTTTTTAAAGTTTTCTACATAAATTTTTTAAAATTTTCTGTCAACTAATATTCAACTTCATTTTTTATAATTGAAAAATAGAAAATAGAAAAATATTTATAGCTTTTTAATTAGCAGACATTTGATAATTCTTTAAATTATGTTTAAAAATATTTGAATATAAATTCTAATAAGCAGCAGAATGACCAGTAAAAATTTTGTAAATACTATTTTTATAATTCATTAGATTAGAAAAAATTAAAGCAAATTTTCCATATCTGCTGAAATTCGCCCATGTAATTGTAAATTAAAAACATAAAAATATTTTCTTACATTCTTTTCTACGCGATTTTCTTTCTAACTCTGGATTTTTTCGCACTTCCTTAACATATTCCATATAACTCGTAGTAGTTTCCCTCCTTGATAATTTTATCGGCTTAAATCCAATATCAACTTTGAAATCCAATTCCGGATCCGTACGCCTCATTTCTAAAAAATTGAAAAAATATATTAATATAAATATATTTAATTCATAAAAAAGAATAATAGTAAATAGGCGTCATTGGAGGTTATAGCTGGTATTTACAAATATAATTTTACCTTCTAAACGTTGTTTGAGAGTTCTTGCCACTCCAGGAGGTTTACCTCGAATTTTATGTCCATGTCGGAGTTGTTGATAATTAATGACTAGTAAATCGTTTTTTAAATAATTAAATAGTCTACTAGACATTTTGAAATAAAAATTCACGATTGTTACTTGCTACCCGGTGTGATAATTATAACAACACCTTATAAGTTTGAAGGGCGCTTGCGCGGTGATTCACTGAAAATAGTACTAATCGCGGGTTATTCAAATTTAGGGCCAGTTTTTCAATCCAGAATAAAATTTTATCCAATGATAAAATATATCTATATATTTCATATATATATATAAATATACTCACAATAATAATTTTATCCTGGATAAAATTTTATCTCGGATTGAAAAACTGGCCCTTAGAGATTTTTTCTAAATGATAAAAAAAATTTGTTACTTAAAAAGAAACCGCTAAGAAAGAAGAAAACAAAAAAATAATAAATATTTATTTGAAATGCATTATTTTTTCTTTTGTCTTATTTTTTATGATGATAAACAATGTTTATATTTTTTGTAAAATAAATGTTATTTTATTAAGTGTTTGATCAGAAATTTATTTCTTTATAAAACTACTTCCCAAGGAATAAACGAAAATTTTTCATTAAATTTAATTAATAAATAAACTTTCTTATTAATGATTTGAATACTAACTGAGAATTATACACGAAATTACTTAAAATTTGATGTTTAATAAGGTATTTAAATGCGTTTATTTCTTGAAAAATGATGAATTACATGATATATAAACTATTGAAAACTGACTGTTTGGCTATATGATGTAAAAGATGGTTTGAATAATATTTCTGCAACCGCTGAAGGAACGCGCATTTTCCGTTGAATGTAACAGAATGAAAGAAGAAGACGTGCGCATTTACGTCAAAGAGTTATAATAGAATTATTATAGAAAAAAATTTTGTCCATAGAGTTTAATAGACCTATAACTTCGAGCTATGATTTACAATAATATTGGCTGAGTAATTTATATTATACGCCGACTGTAAATTAACCTTGCCGAATTAAAAACTTGTTTAAATTTAAGGTGAACTATTGATATAGTTCGTAAAAATAAACACCAACACAAAACTTGTTTCTGCAAACGGGTATTATGTTATCAATTTATCATAAAATGAAATAAGTAATCTATGATTAATAGTACGAGAAAAACCTGTTACGTAAATTTCTTCGAATCAAGTACAAGGAAATATAGTGGGGTATTTCTTTTAAAGTAGTTACATATCTAATCATTTTCCTTATGTTTTCTGACATTCGCGATTAATATGCGGTCATATATATACATCAATTTATTTGTGTTTGGTATATATAAAAACCTTGATTATGGTTCAGTTTTCTGGTGACAGTGTTGTTGAATATTTTTCGTAGATATTTATTACGATGTCACGTAATTTGATTGTATTACTTCTCTCATCTTGTATTATTTACGGTAATTAATTGAGTTCTGTATATATTCGTTATTTATATTAATAAAAAAAGTTGTTGTTATTTTTTGACAATTTTAAAACTTGATTTATATCGCTTCAATTCTTAACTATGATCCGTGATTTAAAAAAAATCAATACCAGATTAGTATGAATAATTCTACCGGCTGAAATATCATCTTTTGATTAACGAAAGTTATTAAGTATTATAAATAGTTATTGAAATCAAAACATAAATAATTTCATTCAAAAATTACTATTTTGTAAGAACGTAAAATGAGTTTTTTTCTTATCTTCAGTACAATTTTTAGTTTCAATTGCGACTTATAATTGAGTAATTTGATGAGTTAGAGATTCAGAATGATAAAAATTTGATATTATAGGAATCCCAAAGATTAAAAATAATTAAATAATTAAAATGGCATTAAAAAACTAAGCGATAAATACATTTTATAATTAAAATGATCTTATTAATTATAGTAATTGGTTTGGTTGATAATTGATAAGTTTCGCCATCGATATTTTTTTTTACAAAGACATATTGGCCTTTTATAATAAAATAATAAGATATTTATGATGTATGAAGATAAAAACAAGTTCATCGAAAAGAGAACAATTAAAAAAAAAATTTTTTTTTCAAAAATATCAATCTTATAATTAGAAAAAAATAAATTATTTTGAAAAAATAACAAAAAAATAAAAAATTGACATTTTTAAAAATTTCCCCCTAAATTGATTGACTTCACACGTAGAATACAGAAAAAAAATACTAGAATATCGCTAGACATCTACTCATTACATCGCTAGATATCTAGTAAATACATTCTATTTTCGGTTAACAAAAAATTTTCGTTAATATTGAAACTTTTAAAATTAATTGGGAAATCGATTTTTATAAATTTTTTGATTTTTTTATACCAAAAAAACTAGATGATAGTGAAAAAAAGCAATTACCTTACATTTTTTAAAAATATTTTTAAATTGTGGACGAAGGTTATTCTTTCGAATTACTCCTTTAAATTTATCTTTTAAAAAATCAAGAAAAAAAAAAAGAACAATAGTCCCATATCTTGTTTTTTTCTATCATGAAAAAACAAGATAAACGAAAAAACAAAGCTATTAAAAAATAATAAAAATTATGACTAATTCGTAAAAAAAATTTATCCAACACTGATAGAAGGATTTTTTTGTATTTAACAAGATTTGTTAATATTTAATAAATAATTTATTAGAGGATAGGTCCTTAACAAATATTTATTAACAGTTAATAAATCATTTATTAGCAGCTATTTTTTTGTCCTAACCAAATATTTATTACTATTTAACAAACGATTTATTAATATATAAAAAATGATTTATTAACATTTAAAAAATGATTTATTAATATTTAATAAATCATTTATTAGTATTTAATACACACTGGATTATGAATATTTAAAAAATTCCTCAAAAAGGTGTTTCAATGTTTTATTTTAATTATAAAAATTACAGAGAATTAGATATTTAATGAAATAAATGAAAAATGAAATTAAAGGATACAAATAATAAAAAGAGAAATTACAACGTAGATATTTATTACGATGTCACGTAATTTGATTGTATTACTTCTCTCATCTTGTATTATTTACGGTAATTAATTGAGTTCTGTATATATTCGTTATTTATATTAATAAAAAAAGTTGTTGTTATTTTTTGACAATTTTAAAACTTGATTTATATCGCTTCAATTCTTAACTATGATCCGTGATTTAAAAAAAATCAATACCAGATTAGTATGAATAATTCTACCGGCTGAAATATCATCTTTTGATTAACGAAAGTTATTAAGTATTATAAATAGTTATTGAAATCAAAACATAAATAATTTCATTCAAAAATTACTATTTTGTAAGAACGTAAAATGAGTTTTTTTCTTATCTTCAGTACAATTTTTAGTTTCAATTGCGACTTATAATTGAGTAATTTGATGAGTTAGAGATTCAGAATGATAAAAATTTGATATTATAGGAATCCCAAAGATTAAAAATAATTAAATAATTAAAATGGCATTAAAAAACTAAGCGATAAATACATTTTATAATTAAAATGATCTTATTAATTATAGTAATTGGTTTGGTTGATAATTGATAAGTTTCGCCATCGATATTTTTTTTTACAAAGACATATTGGCCTTTTATAATAAAATAATAAGATATTTATGATGTATGAAGATAAAAACAAGTTCATCGAAAAGAGAACAATTAAAAAAAAAATTTTTTTTTCAAAAATATCAATCTTATAATTAGAAAAAAATAAATTATTTTGAAAAAATAACAAAAAAATAAAAAATTGACATTTTTAAAAATTTCCCCCTAAATTGATTGACTTCACACGTAGAATACAGAAAAAAAATACTAGAATATCGCTAGACATCTACTCATTACATCGCTAGATATCTAGTAAATACATTCTATTTTCGGTTAACAAAAAATTTTCGTTAATATTGAAACTTTTAAAATTAATTGGGAAATCGATTTTTATAAATTTTTTGATTTTTTTATACCAAAAAAACTAGATGATAGTGAAAAAAAGCAATTACCTTACATTTTTTAAAAATATTTTTAAATTGTGGACGAAGGTTATTCTTTCGAATTACTCCTTTAAATTTATCTTTTAAAAAATCAAGAAAAAAAAAAAGAACAATAGTCCCATATCTTGTTTTTTTCTATCATGAAAAAACAAGATAAACGAAAAAACAAAGCTATTAAAAAATAATAAAAATTATGACTAATTCGTAAAAAAAATTTATCCAACACTGATAGAAGGATTTTTTTGTATTTAACAAGATTTGTTAATATTTAATAAATAATTTATTAGAGGATAGGTCCTTAACAAATATTTATTAACAGTTAATAAATCATTTATTAGCAGCTATTTTTTTGTCCTAACCAAATATTTATTACTATTTAACAAACGATTTATTAATATATAAAAAATGATTTATTAACATTTAAAAAATGATTTATTAATATTTAATAAATCATTTATTAGTATTTACACACTGGATTATTAATATTTAAAAAATTCCTCACAAATGTGTTTCAATGTTTTATTTTAATTGTAAAAATTACAGAGAATTAGATATTTAATGAAATAAATGAAAAATGAAATTAAAGGATACAAATAATAAAAAGAGAAATTACAACAAGAAGTTTACAAGCGAAGTATTAGAAAAGTTTACAATTTATTTTTTTATTGCAACCATACATTTAAAATCAAAGTAACTACTGTATATAATAATTGATAAATTGGTACTTATATACAAGTCAAATCAAACTCCTTTGAGATATTACATGATAACCATCTGATGTTACATGAATTTTTAATGGTTTAAAATATTTATCGAAAGTTATAGGTACCAAATTTTCTGGATCGTTTATTTTTGGTAATATTATTTGATAACTTTTTATATGTGAATTAAGTCCAACAAATACACACTCTTTGAAAGAAAAATAAATCATTTTTCCATCAAATATAATTGCAGTAATAAAACCGAATACAGGATTATTCTCAGAATCATTACAAACGTGGAAAGCGTACGATGGTTTATATATTTTGTTATTAATTTTTATAGATTCAAATGCCAAAAAATTTTTTAAATTAATTGATAACTTTTCAAGATTAGTATATTTTACAACTTGACCAAACTTTACAATATGTTTAAATCCTTCTGCTTTGATAAATTTTTCGCATAAATCAAGTTGCAATTTTTTTGCCAAAGTAAATAAAATATTAATACGGCAGTTTACAACGTGAGCGTATCGCTTTCGATATTTTATGAAAAGCCTCAAACCTTGAACACGAGTAAAATTTCGGTGGGCCAAAAATTTTTATAATCGTTGGATAATGTACTAATAAGTGGAATTTAGCTGTCAAATGCCCCTGAAACGTTTGTAAATATAATTGATGATGCAGCCTGATTAATTCTCTTAGATAAATAATTTCATTATCTGAAATAATTGTACTTGTTACTATGCTTATTATATCGAATAAATAAGTGTATAGCAACCACGCTGGATCATCAGGTGGTACCAGATCCCCGACTATTATTCCAAAATAGGCTATGAGACATGACATTTCAGCCACGGTAAGTATCAAATGCTCATTTTGAATATGAGTATCACTAATTGTAGAAATTTTATTACCACTATCTACTTCGCAATGGTCAAAAAATTTCAGTCGATTGTTAAGTTGATTCAGAGTAAAATATTTATTTAGAATACAATGTTTTATTATTTTGCCCATGTCATACCTGCATATACCTAAATACAAATCATGCATTATGTCAATCGTCCAGTTACAAGTGTTATGAAAAAAATTTATTTCATTAAAAACACATTTATTCTTAACACCGTGGCTACGATTTGATAAGTCTGATTCATAATTAGTTTTATTACGGAGCAGTGTTTCATTTTCTTGAACCACTTTCTGCGCTTCAACTTTAGGCATTTTACAGAACCGACAATAGTATTCACTGATGAAACTCTCATTGAAACCAAATAGACTATTCACAGCTAAATTGTCACCCAAAATTCCAATCAATACAAAATAAATGCGATGACTTTCTCCGTTAATACTAATTGTTATGCCAAATTGTGTTAAATAATTTAATTCATCTTTTATCTCAGCAAAGCATCTTTCAGCACCGAATTCTTTATAATCGGAATTATGTATTAATTGGGGTAAAAAAACATTAGCTGTAGTTGACGCAAATTGAGGTGGTAACGCAGCGATAGAGCAGTATAATCCTCCAACCTTATAAATTCCTGCTGATGTTGAGAGAGGGTTGTCAATTTCGAAATCATCGTAATAAAGATATAGAGGTATAACAATTTTTTCTTGAAATGCTCCAGAAATATTTTTCCACAGTGTTCCTTGAAATAAACTAGAATAAATATCACCTTGACTTTCAATCCTTGCAGATTCAGTTTGCATAAAATTCATAATAGTTTTAAAAACATTCGGTAGTTCTAAAAATTTTTTTAACACTGCACGTAATGAAATTATTTGACCATAGCACGCTTTTTTTGTCCACTTAATACTGTTATTTATATTTTTATCATCACCAATTTCACCTATTTTAAATTGACGTGGAGCAAAATAAAACTCGGAGTTTTTTAACTGCTGCATGCATCTCCATTTTGAGTCAAAGTTTTCAAAAACATCTAATTTAAAACAGTCTTCCATGAAATCGTGATATTCAATAGGTATACGCTCTTTTAATTTTTTTAATGTTGTAACCGAAATTTCTGACATCAATTTTTGAAATTCTTGAATAGTCTCTTGAGCCAGTTTTTCCGTAACGGTTGTATTACTATAAAATTTACTAATAAATTTGAAAACTTCGTTTTCAATATCAATTTCAGTAGGCTCCATATTAAATTATTAAAATAACATTATTTAAGTTCAGATAATTAAAAAAAAATAATAATAATATTAAATAAATATTTTGAATCACGTAGTTTTAAAATCTTGTAACAATCAAAACTTAAGTGAATGATTTTCGATGAATGTCACAAATTATTTTAAGTTAACTGACAACTTATTTAAAACATTGTACACAAACGGTATTTGGACATCTGACTTTGTTTTAATTTTATAGAGCCCCCATTGAATAAAATACCAAAAATTTTGGCTTTCGACTGGGTATGCAATTTTAAACATTAAATAAAATTTAAACAACAAGTCAAATCCTTCAATAAACGTTGAAGTTTCAAATCTAAAATTATCGACTTGAACGTATACTTTTTGCAAATCCAATTCATTTGGTCCAACTACGATTAAAAATGGTTGGATTGTAGACTTGGTTTTTGCCTTTTGACAAATCTTTTTTTCACAAGCAGTGTCAACATCCCCAGGAACTTTAACGTGCATATAAACGCTTTCTATAGCAGCACTGAGAGCATCTTCTTGGTTGTTGTTTCGAGTGTGCGTCTCCTTTTTTGAGTTTTTACCCTTTCTACGCGGTTTCACAGCAGAAAGTAAATGAATAAATATTTCGAGTTGTATAATGTACTTGCTTAACGGAGAAACATTTTTTTCACTCATATCAAGCAACCTGAGCTTTGGAAGATAATCTTTAGCAATTTTGTCCACTGAAATATTTTTGAGAAGATGAAAAATATTTCCCCAACTTTCGTTTACGTTAATGACTTTATTTTTGTAAACATTATCATAATCCGTATTAATCTGTAAATATAAAATTTAAGAAATTAATTTTTTTTAAGCATAAAAAGAGAAAAAATTTTGTTATAAACTTACCAATACAGAGCATATCGATTCTTTTAGAATAGGCCAGTCATTAAATATGTCAGTTACACTTGAATATTTATTAGAGTCCACTTCAGATCTCCGCAGTTCGAAGGATGATTTCCAATGCAGCAAAACATCTAATTCTTCTCTATGATGCATCAACCATTGCTTGCTTTCCAGTGCTGAATTGTCACCAGTATTCAAAGAGATGCTTTCACTCTCACCAGTATTATTAAAACACTCCGAAAATTTTTTTATATTTCTTATAATTACTAATGTATTGCGGTATTTGTCAACTAATTTTCCCTTTGAAATCAGACTCATATTACTTAGAGAATCTTTTTTCTTTACTGGAGGAACGTAAAAAGTTTGTGTACACTCAGCTGGAAATAACTCAACAATTTTTGAAGCTAACTCTTCATGGTCTTCGTTCACTAATGTTATATTTTTTTTTAAACAATCATATACAATGATTTCACACAGCGTAGATATCCACGAAGCCTCGAGTTGAATCTTTTTTTGGTTTGAAATAAGCAAGAGTTCTTTTCCAACAGGGTGTTCACTGAGCAGTTCTTTCAAGTTAAAATAACAAAATTTTGATTCTTTTTTTTTTTTTTTTGTGGTAACCTAATGTTATTTTCTGTTATCACCTTATCAAACACATTAGTATTAACGAAATCAACAGGTAAACTATCAATGTCTATATCACTAAACTTATCACTGATTTTAGAGCAATCACTTGTCACAGGCATCAGTTGCCAGCAAGTATTTGGTTGTGATTCATCCTTTAGATTAATCCTCTCTTGATGTGAAATCAACTTACCACAAAAAGTCGAGTATAACTCACTCAAATCCCACGATTGTAGCAAAGCTTCCATTTTATTAATTGTTTTTTCACAAAGTATCAAAATAATAAGCAACTTATCATATGAAAATCGCAAATAGAGCTGGTCATTCAACGGGTTATGACGCGCAATAAAAAAAAGGCGCGGAATCGTATGTCGTATATTACCATGACGCGCACGCACACACGAGTATTCTGTTATGTATATATATACATATTTATTTATAACTACGCGTTAAGTATAGCCATCTACCAACACCGACCACCAACAAAATATTTTTTAACTATTAACAAATCTTATTTGGTGGAAATAAATATTTTTTTCAATATATTAAAGCTTCTTAATAGTTACAAAAATTTTGTTCTCATAAAAAATAGATTTAGTTAATACTAACGAATATTGTTAATAGTAAAAAAATATTTTTTCCACCCAAAAAAATATCTGAAAAAGATTTTAATAAATTGATTTATTAAATACAAACAAATCCTTCTATCAGTGAACGTTGATTTCTGAAGGCATTCGTTTTTTTTTCTTTTTATAATAAATCCCAGCAAGTTAAAATGATATATGTTATCATAATAACATAAAAATACCAGTATAAAAGGAGAACGTTTATTGAGTGTACGAATCATTTTTATTTTATTAATTTTGTTGATATTCAATAAAAGAAATGTCGTGGATATGGATTTTGATTTCTTCTTTCCTTATTTTCTATGGTACTATAATTTATAATTAATAAAAATAAAAATATTTAATAATCATAATTTTTATTTTAGCGCAATTGAACAACGTGGAGGGAAAAAAAGGTTTTGGTAAAGGAGAACAAGACTGGAGCTATGAAGAAGTAAGACCAGGTGCTCACATGTTCTGGTGGCTTTACTATGCGAATCCACCAAACAAATCTGCGAATTTCAATGCTTTGTCAAAACCACTAGTAATTTGGATCCATGGTGGACCTGGAAGTTCAGCTACCGGTTACGGAAACTTTGAAGAAATCGGTCCGTATGATCTTTTCGGTCAATACCGTAATCTCACTTTGGTCAATGATTACAATGTTTTGTTCATCGACAACCCGGTCGGCTCTGGATTCAGTTATGTTGATAACGAATCTGCTTATGCCCAAAATAATGCGCAAATAGCGAGAGATCTGTTGGAATGTATCAAGCGATTTTTGCAGAAAATTCCAGCATTCAAAAATATCCCTACGTACATTTTTGGAGAATCGTATGGTGCTAAAATGGGGGCGGAACTGGCTACAGTTTGGTACAAGGTAAATGTCAAAAGTTTAGTTTGTTTTGAAATTTTGAAGTTGTTCATATATGTTCATTAAATACTTGATAAAATATTTTTTTGTTGTAGGCTCAAAAATGTAATGATGTTCAAAGTAAACTAAAAGGAGTTCTTTTGGGTTCTCCTTGGATTTCTCCGATTGATATTGTCTTATCTTGGCCACAATTTTTGTTAAATACTGTAAGATCATTATTTCACATTATTATTATTATTATTTATAACTATACTAGTAAAAAAATTAGGAAAACGGTTGACCCTAAAGGCCATCTCTGCAACTTTCCGCTAATTCCGTTAATACCTGGCCGCTTTTTTGAGCTCTTCGAGCTCAAAAAGATATCTTTTCTATGTTTTTGAGCTCTATGAGCTCAAAAGTCTGATAGAATTTTCATAGAGCACAATTTTTTCAATTTTCAAACCGCAATAACTTTTGAATGAATGAACCGATTTTTACGCAGTTGGCAGTATTCTACGAAGTTTTTAAGCCTCATAAAGAATTCTTAAGTTTCAATTGGTTAAACTCGAAATTTCGGAGTAATTCCGAAAAAACACTTTTTTCGGTTTTTTTTTCGTTCACGATATATCTCTTGAACGAATCAACCGATTTTGACCGGATTGACGGCAATCGACGTGGTTTTTTAAGGTTGAGAGCTGATTAGTTTTTGGAATCGATCGGTAGAGCCGTTTAAAAGTTATTCCAAAAAAACCACTTCTGAAAAAAATTTTTTTCCTATTTTTTTGGAGATTCCTCTGAATTCCTCAAAATCTATCAGTCCGAATCGGTTCAAATTTTCAGGAAATCTAAGTTTAGTGAAGCCCTTTCGAATGGCACCAACCGCGATGAAATCGGTTCAACCGTTCAAAAGTTATAAGAGGTTTACATACTTACACACACACACACACACACACACACACACGCACGCACGGCCGGACAATTTATTTAACAAACCAGACGATCTTGCTTATTTTATTACCATTAAAATAATTGTAGTAATTGGTTGCTGAAACCTTCATCAGTTTCATTTTCTTATTTAGTTTAATATTAATGTAAGTAAATATTGATAACTTTCTTTTTAATTAATCAGGGTATTGTTGACACCGTTGGTGCGAGAAGGATAGAAGCATCCGCCAGAAAAGCTGATGAATCTGTAAAAGCCGAAAATTGGAAAGCAGCTACTGACGCTGAAGTTGATACCTTGAATACTATTGGACAAGTCAGTGACAATATTACACAATTCAACATTCTTATTGAAAGAAGTAGCCATGCAGGAGTACAAAATTTTACAACCCGTTTCCCAAAACCGCCTAAAACAGCAGAGCATTGGGCAGAGCTGGTTCGGTTTGTGAATACTGACGTGAAACGAGCTTTAGGACTAACTTCAAACTGGGTTATGGATTCAGAAAAAGTCGCTGAAGTCCTTTGGTCAGATATCTTCAAGCCTGGTGTCAGTTTCGGTATGAATATAAACTATCTCATGTATTTTTATTCACTGTACAATGAGATTGATAATCAATATTTTAGTTGAGGAATTGTTGAACGAAACGAATTTGAAAGTTTATATCTACAACGGGCAGCTGGATTTGATCTGTGCCTTGCCGGGAACTCTCAAGTGGGTGGAAAATTTAAAATGGAAACATGATGATGCTTGGAAAAATTCACCAAGAGTCCCATTCTCTGTTGACGGCATTCTCGAGGGATACGTCAAGGCATATAAGAAATTCAAGATGTTCTGGGTCTTCCGAGCTGGACATTTGGTAATTTTTTTACATTTCATGTGTGTAAATAGTAAAAATAAAAAATAATTAAATTTTTAATATTTTCAGACTACTACTGACAATCCCTACGCTACAACTGCAATTGTCCAAGATCTCACGTCAGTTTGATTACCATAAATTTTTTTTTCATATACTAAGCAAAATGTTTTGTATTTCTCATTTTCCTGAAGTATTTAAATAAATAAACATTAATCGATGAATTTATATCAATAATTTATTTATTTATTTATTAACGCCATTCAACAATTATACATTACTTATTACATACAGTTTCAAAGGTAACTGATGAACAAAAAAAAAATTTAATTATCAGAAAAAAAGTTATTATGATAATATCACAAGACAATAATATTGCAATCGAACAATCATCAGGTAGATTTCGTGGAATAGATTATTTTCATTTTTTTCGCAATAACTTATGGAGTAAATGTTGCAAGTTAATGTTTTACAGGTCAAATTAAAGATAATTTTATAAGCTTTAATATTTATTTTTCAAAAGTTAGTTATCTCTTCTTACTTTAATGACTACCATGTCTTATCTCATCAATTGATTTTGCTCATCTTCAAACTCGTTCAAGGTATTTGTCTAAGGAATAAATGTACAAAGTTTCATTAAGATTCATCAAGAATTATAGGAGCTATCGTGTCTACAAGCCGTATTATGTTACATATTACATATACATATCAATAAACTTTTAAACCAATGCCATTTTTATGCCTTACTCGACTATTTAAGTGATATTATGACCAAATTTTAAGTGAATTCCGAAATGTGGACCAATGCAGTAGATAGATTTCCATGAAATCTACTTAAAAAACATGTAAAAATTTATTTTCGTCGCTATACGACTTAAAAAATGATAGTTGATTACAATACTAATTTTCTTGCTAAACTTTTCAACTTATTTGAAAAGATTGAAAAGGATTTGATTTGAATACCATATAGATGTATATTATGTATCGCGGAAATATTTCCAAATCCCTTTTCCTATTTACAATTTTTATTTAAAATGCTGATGTGTTAAAATTTCACACTTTTTCTCTTCATCTGCCCGTGAGCTTAATTATTATTATATTATTTTTGATTACGTTTAATTAATTTTTCCATATTCACCAATAGCTTTTTTTTTTTTTTTTTTTTTTTTTTTTTTTTTAATTGAAGTCTTGGCTGCTTATTAATTACAATTTATTTAAAGCACGATAACAGCATGCGTCAAAACACATTATCACACAAATTATTGATAATATTAATGTAAATAAATATACTTGACCACAAAAAGATACGCTTTGAACTCTTCAGTTGAATTGAGTGATTTTAGTAAATATTATGTCTTCGATTGGAAAAGTTTTATTTCTTATTCATTTCTTCTTCCATTCATATGGTGCTTTTCAAGTTTTTTAGACAAAAATTTTAGTTTTATTTATTCTCTTAGAAAAATTAAGTGACAGTAAGTATTTTATCAATAATACATAATTCCTAATATTTTTTTGATTCGCTCAGGACACGTGAATAAAGTGGAAGGCAAAAAAGGTTTTGGTCCAGGGGACCAAGAATGGGGATACGTAACAGTTCGACCAAGTGCTCACATTTTTTGGTGGCTTTATTACGTAAATCCGCCTGAAAAACCGACAAATTTTGATCCACTGTCAAAACCGCTGATGATATGGATTCACGGTGGACCAGGAGGATCTGGTGCAGGATATGGTAACTTCATGCAGTTCGGCCCTCTTGATATTTTCGGCCACCGTCGAAGTTACACTTGGGTCAATGACTACAATGTTCTGTTTATCGACAACCCGGTCGGCTCTGGATTCAGTTACGTGAGCGATGAATCTGCTTACGCGAAAAATAACACTCAGATAGCCAATGACTTGTTTAGATGTGTTAATAAATTTTTCGAAGTAATCCCAACATTCAAAAGTGTTCCAACTTACATTGTTGGAGAGTCCTATGGTTCGAAAATGGGAGTCGAATTGGCCTCTATTTGGTATAAAGTATTTACTCAAGTTTTTTCATTTTTAGCTATTTATTAAACATTCATTGAGATATTAATCAGAGTAATTTTCATTTCAGGCTCAAACTTCTAACAGTATACAAAGTAATTTGAAAGGAGTTGTCTTGGGCGTACCCTGGATTTCTCCAATAAACTCAATTCTTTCTTGGGGGTCATTTCTACTAAATACGGTAATTTGTCATAAATTTTAATATTGTATTGCACGTCTCAACGCGAAGCGTGAGTAGTGCTTTACTCTCACTCTTTTAAGGTCAAGCCTTATCTCGGCTTAAATTGCTTTTATCCGAACTTTTTTGCACTTTGAGTATTAAATGAGTTGACAAATATCAACAATAACACTTTTTTATGACAGTTATACTTTAAAAAACACAGTTTTTTCTATAGTCTAAAAAAAAAACCGTTTTGAAAAAATATTTCGGTAGACGTCGGGTTGTCTGTATGTGCGGATGATGTATGTGGTCACGATAACGCCCAAAAAACTTCACTTTTTGGGTGAAAGTCAATTTTTTTTTTTTTTCATTCGCTTCAGTATGATTTTGAGTAATAGCCTATTTAAAATTACCGCCTAATTCAATGTAATTTAATTACAAAATGAATAAATTCATTAACAGTGAACAGTCTTTTTTGTATATTTATGTATATATAAAAAATAGTTCAATCTTCGGCCACACATGGGCACTTCCGATCATCTCAGTTTTATGTTATTTTAATTTTTTTTTTTTTGTGATGAATGAGTTTTGAGACGTGCACTTTTGAATTTTCCAAACTTTTTTATTTTATTACTAGCAATCATGTGACTGTCGACAATTAAGAGCTACGAATAAAAAAAAAATTCGGCTTGATGATACACTGTTTGGAATCCACGTACATGATTATCATTTTCCCTTTTTTCTTAGATGTTTTCCTGTTTATGAGGTAGTTCAGCACATAGATATTGTCAATCGTTCCTCTACCTTCCCTAAATCCCGCCTGCGTTTCCGGTAATAAACCCTTTTCTTCAGTCTCTCTCTTCAGCCTTTTCTCCAGTATCCCCACATATATCTTATAGGCCGTCTGGGTGATAGTGATCCCTCTGTATAGTCCTCTACCCTGTTTCCATCTCCTTTCTTCAAGATTGGTACCACAACTCCATCTTTCCAATCCTCCGGCCATGCTTCCCCCACCCACACTCTTTGACAGATCCTCCACAACTCAACTATTAACTCTTCTCCCCCATATTTCCACACCTCATTTGGGATTCCATCTTCCCCCATGGTTTTATAATCTTTTAACTTCTTAACCATTTCCCTGACTTCGTCCAAAGAGATCTCGTACTCTTCCGTCTCATCCAGTTCCTCCTCAGTTATTGAGACTTCCCGTGTTACCTTCTTCTCCGTTCCCCCAAGTACCTCTCTGAAATACAAATCCCAAGTCTCCATTATAGATAATATTAAAATTTTTCCTTTAAGAAGTTTACTTAGATAACAGACGGTGATTATTATTAACTTTTTATTAATTTTGTTTTCATTGATTTTTTACAGGGAATAGTAGACACTGCAGGTTACAATGAAATAGAAGCAGAAACTGAAATAATAAGACAAGCTATAGAAGCCGGAAAATGGACAGAAGCTACGGATGCTAAGGATGTTGCATTTAAAATCGTTGACCAAGTCAGCGCTCATATTTCTACTAGCAATATAATATCTGAGAGACATTCGTATGGAGGAATAAAGAATTACACTACTATATTTCCAAAACCACCGAAACCACCAGATAATACAACAAAGCTAGTTAGTTTTATGAACAATGAAGTAAAGCAAGCTTTGGGACTTATTTCTTCTTGGGTTTTGAATCCACGAATTGTTGTTGATAATATTAGATGTGATATTTTGAAACCTGTTGTCTACATTGGTAAATATTATTTTGATTATTATTGTTCACATTTTAATTTTAATATTTGTTATTACTATTATTAATATTATTCTGGAAAATTTTAATATATTTCAGTCGAAGAGTTATTGAACGAATCTGATTTAAAAGTTTCTGTATACGCTGGACAATTTGATTTGGTCGTTGCCTTACCTGGTACTGTAAAATGGGTGGAAAATTTGAACTGGAAACACATTGCTGCATGGAAAAAATCACCGAGACTTGCATTTGCTGTTGATAATACCATCGAAGGATACGTCAAATCATACAACAAATTGAAAATGTTTTGGGTTCTTCGATCGGGACATTTGGTTAGTTAATTACACTTTTTTATATCACAAAAATCAATTATTAATTAGTATTTAAGCAAACGATTTTTTTTTAGGTCGTTGAAGATAATCCTCACGCTATGAATGCAATTTTACAAGATATGACATCAAATGATTAATTAATTAAGAATTACCTTGTTTAATAAAAACAGAATGTTTAAAAAAGCAGCATCTTGACTCATCCAAAGAATAATAGTAGAATAAAAATCTTAATATGAAAGAAGATTTAAAAATAGATTTTCAAAAAGTTGACATTTTATAAACATATGTAAACTAAGGTCACGCTAAAAAATGTAATTTTTCGAAGCAAAGAGTTGTAAGAATTTTTGATTGTCTATTGTTTATTGTGACACAATCAATATGTATTTTCAAACCAGCATCTCAAAAGTTAATTTAAAAAAAAATTAAATAATGCTAATTTTTTCCATAAATAGAATCAACATCTGCACCATTATTTAACAAAAATTGGACAATCGCAGAACAATCTTTACGGCCCACAACTAGTTTAAGTGCTGTAGTCTTACCTTCACCAGTAGTTGCATTTTGACATTTCATCTATGATCAATGAATTCTTTTACTATATCTTCAAAATACAATGAAATTGTGTTTTATTGTCTTTATTAATAGCGTAAGCACAAGCGCCATGATTTAACAAATTACACGGAGAAAAATTAATTATTCTACCTACTATACAAAAATAGTAACTCCTACTATCTAAAATGGTAATAAAATTAATTAGTAACAAAATAATAGGTGGTATCAATGACAATTGTCATAGTTACTATTAATAATGGTAATAACGATTACTATCAAAAATAATAATTGTAATTATTATAAATTATAACTGTTACAATCGAAGATGGTAACTGTAACCATCTCAGATTGTAAAAATTCTGAAAGAAAAAATAATACAAATTTACTTAATTAAATCCTTTATTTAAATCCATATTTTAGCTAATGTACATTTTTTCCTTTGAAATATTAAAATATTTTAAATTCCCATCAAAATTTTTTTTTGAAAATTTGATTTTTTTGAAGATTAAAAATTTTTTTTATTTTAAATTCCCTTCAAGAAATTTTAATTTCTTTTTTTTTAATTTGAATTTTATTGAAAATTTTGATTTTTTTGGAAATTTCAAATTTTTTTGCAAAAAAATGCATCCACGGTAACGCAGATTCTTAATTTTTTAAATATTTTTTACTAGCTTAGATAGTAGTTATTATTATAATTACAGATGGTAACTACAACCATCAGGTTATATTAGGAATTACGATTTTGATAATAGTAGTAACTAGTTAAAATAATAACAGTTATTATTACTGATTACCATCACAATAGTAGTAGTTACCATCAGGATGGTAAATACTACAATTCAGATAGTTTACTTAATTATTTAAATAATATTTACTACTATCGAATTCAATTAATAGATTTTAACATAACTAGATAATAAACTCTACTATAAAATTTTCTCCGTGTATGATTGATTTCATAACATTCTTTACGGGCAACAGTTATGTGAAGTGCTGTCTTGCCACACTTATTATCAGCAACACTAAGATTCACCCCGTTGTCAACAACTTCTTTCACAATCATTGTAGAATACAATAGAGTAGCATAATGTAAGGGTGTTTTACCTTCTTCATCGACCGAATTAACATCTATACTACACCATGATTCAACGACAATTTCACAATTGCGGAACCATCACTATTATTTGCAGCTATGTGCAGTGCTGTTCTACCTTCGTCGTCACCAGAATTGACATTTGCTCCATGGTTAAGAAGCATCTTTATGTTTTCAATATTATCCGCATAATGTAATGGAGTTCGGTTGTATTTATCAATAGCATTAATATTTCTCATATAATAAATGAGTTTTTTTTAACGTTCTTTTATTACGATATTGAACAGCATAATGTGATGGTGTATTCTTATGGTTATCAATGTCATTGACATCTGATCTTTTATTAATGAGAAATTGAAAAATTTCTTTGACGATCCTTTTATGAATCTACACATGTATTTACAGTAGCCAAATGTAATGGTCAAGCAAGAAAACAATTAATATAATTGTTGACTTCAATTCTACATTTCAATAAATTTTTAACTTCTTTATAGTTATAATTTCAAACAGCTTCGATCAAAAACTAAGTCATTAATTCCTCGAATGGTTCCGTCCCTGCGAATAGTCAATATAAATCATAATCTATTCAGATTTCTAGAAATTTACTGTGTTTCATAAGACTGAAATGTAACAACATTATGAATTTGAAAATTTAAGTCATCATTTTTGACTGACAAAAGAAGACACTTAACAAGTCACTGTTACACTTAGCACGATAATAGTTTATAATATTCTTTTGGGATGGTAAACACTTACCAATAAGATGAAAAACAGCATTGTATATTCGATAATTGTAATTTTTTTTCTAAAATAATATTTTTTTTTTACTCTATTGAACAGCGTTAAAAAATGTTATATTTTTTTTTTTTTTATTAATAACTGATGATGTGATAACTGATGATCATAAGATCAATGAGTCTTTCAAACGTGATACTTTACTAAAATTTAGGAATAATGACAATATCTATCTATTTCAGTGCATAACGTTTTGAAGCGTTAGATTTGATATTGAAAGGAACTATAACTTGAATTTACAAGAGTAACAGTCTGCCCTAACGATACCTTTCACAAAATTATTGATTTTGGGACGAAAATAAAGCTGGCCGCGCTTCTCATTTATTTACTAAAATAAAAGTTATTTGATTCAAGATAAATATTTTTGATCAAAGAAAAAATTATTTTGAAGACAACTGATTGTCTTGATTTATATAAGAATTTAACATCGAAAAATACTATTGTTTTAAAATAATAAAGTGCTTCGGTTATGACAATAATTCTTAAGGTGCGCAGTAGCCTATCGGATCCGGCCCTTGCTACCAAAGCATTGGACCGGGTTCGAATCCGGCGTACACCAATGAATATTTTCAATATTTAAGTGTATATTATTCTGCTCAGCCCAAGAAATACAAACGAGTTCCAATCTCAAAAGTGTACCCCCTACCGTAGTCGCTCATGACCGTAGTAGTTTATGCGACTTTAAACAAATTAAAAAAAAAAAAAAATAAATAAATATACAAATAATTAAATAAATTAATAAACATAAAATTAGCGTAAAACTTTGGTAAACACAGGATGTTTTACACTTAAAAAGTGATGGAAAAGTTATTCGCGGAATTTAGTTAGGTGAGTGTGCAACAAAATGAATTTTTTTTATACAAGTGTACATTTCTTGAATTAATTTAGACTGAATAACTCGAAACAACAGTAATATTTTGAAGAGAATATTTTTCTTTTATTAAGTAGTTGTTTTTTCAGTGTTTAAGTTAAGATAAGCAAAATTGATTGATTTAGGTTTAACATTTAATATTCCTTCTACTTTATTAATTCTTAACTTATACAATAACAATGATATAAATTAGTGTCGCGAGCGTATGATAAAATATAAATTTGTTTTATTACTTTTTTATTTGTTATAAAAATTATTTCTCTAATTTACAGTGTATTTCAATTGATTGCATTTATGTTGATTATTTCAAGTCCAAGATCCAAAATATTAAAATTAATTATTTTCACTCGTTGATAGAATTTGTGGTAATTCCATCAAGAGGTTTATTTCCAACAAATTTTTTTTGTCAAAAAAACACCCTTAAAATTATCAGATATCTGTTGATTTCACTACTATTAAAAATGATCTAGTAATTATAAACCCATCATTAAGATAACGAAGAAAAAAAATTTCGTTACAATTTCTAATAATTCAAAAAATGTCAGCCACAAATAATAGCTGAAGACCAAAATATAAATAAATTATTAATTTATCTTTTTAGATTTTTAAAGTAAATATTCTATTTTAAGTTTTTAATGCTGTATAATAACATTAGATAATTCTAGAAACATGAAATAAAATTTAATTAAAGAAAAAATTTTACCATGTGGTGTGATAATAGAAATAGTAGTCAACCAGTAAAAAATTGGTGTACGTGCAGATATTCACGTCTGTGAAGAAGATCAAATAAAATAATTAATATTCACCTATATACTGCCTAATTGCTACATAAATCAATTCGAATAAGGACACAAATAATTTTTAAGTTGAGACAACGTGACGTCAATTATGGTAATAACCAAATTATCCAACGACAATAACATGATTAACGGCTACAGTTAATTGTCTTGTTGAATAATTAAAAAATAAGTATTAATTCAATAGATAAAATTGATAGTTGTTCATATAAATTGAGCGTAAGATCTTTCATGATATTCACTCGTAAATGTGCCAGCAACTTAAATATATACATCCAGATAAAAATGTCTTGGGTTTGGATTACACTGTTACTTCCTTGTTTTATTCTTCAAGGTAAAAATTTTTTTCGAATTAAAATAATTGATAATTTACTAATATCTTTTTAATCCATAGCGCATCTAGATAGAGCAGAAGCTAAACCTGGCTTCGGACCTGGAGATCAAGATTGGGGATACGTAAAAGTTCGATCTGGTGCTTACATGTTCTGGTGGCTGTACTACGCGAATCCGCCAACGAAACCAGATAATTTCAATGTCTACAGTAGGCCACTTCTGATTTGGCTCCAAGGGGGACCTGGAGCTTCTAGTGCGGGCTTCGGAAATTTCGGTGAAATCGGCCCTCTTGATGTCAATCTCCAAAGAAGAAATCACACTTGGGTTAACAACTACAATATTTTATTCATCGACAGCCCGGTTAACGCTGGGTTCAGTTTCATTGACGGTAATGTTACTCTTCCACGTGATAACAAAGCGATAGCTTACGATCTTATGAGGTGCATGGAAGGATTCTTGAAGGCCTATACCCAGTTCCAAACAGTTCCAACCTACATTATTGCTGAATCTTACGGCGGGAAAATGGCGACGCATTTTGCTTTACTTTGGGATAAGGTAATTCATTAAAAATATTTTTTAGAAATTACAATTCAGTCTTTTTTGTTTTGTTATAATTAATTTTTTCGGCCTTTAATTTTTTATAATCATTGTATTTGTTAACTATGTTTTTTTTTTTTTATACTTGAAAATGGCATTTCTTGAATTAAAAACGATTTTTTTTCTGAAAAAAAAGAATAAAAATCTATGTAGTTTAATCAAAAAAAATTTTTTGAATCGAACTTTGTTTTTTTTAACTAGCAGTTTCCAACGTAATACTAAGATTGATGAGAAGACTAAGTTTCAAAAGAAAAATTTTTACTATAAAATATTTTTAATTTATGGACAACTATTCATCACAAAATAAAATTTTACAGCAATCATATTTAGGTTTACCAAATTTTTATTAAAGATTTTCAAAGGTACTAAAAATGATGATTTTTCAATATTCAGGTCCAGCACCTCACAGATGGTACTGAAAAGTTTAAGAGTAATTTGAAAGGAATTGGCTTGGGAGATCCTTGGATCTCACCATTAGAGTCCATTCTTTCTTACGCTCCCTTTTTATTAAACACGGTAATTGACTTATTACTAATAAGGTAAAAGATCCCATTAGTGGCACTTTTTCTTTCAATGAAAAAATGCTCTACTTTAAATAAAAATTAAAAGTCTTTTTGATGTAAAGGTCTTAAAGATTAGAAATAATATATTCATTATTGAAATTAACCCTTCAGTACCCACGTTCTTTTTAGTGTCTCACTTGCACTGCAGCGACATCCTATAAGTTGAATGTTGTTGCGTGAGAAAAATTCTCATAGCGAGGGTACTGAAGGGTTAATGATTTCATTAATTGAATAAGTACCAAAATCAAAGTAAGTGTCAGTAATGGGGTCCCCGCCACTAATGAGGTCTTTTACCCTAGTTACAATTATACTTTTTTTGTGCTTTTTAATAACTGCAGGGGATGATAAATTACAAAGGTTATGAGAAAATCCAACAGGCAGCAAGTTTGACAAAATACGCGATAGATTTAGGAAACTGGTCTAACGCAATCGAACAATTTAAAAATACATGGATTACTATCATTAATTGCACAAATAACATTGATTTGTACAATCTTTTAGAAAAGAAAACACCGTTATTTGAATCGCATCTAGCATTTTCTTCTCTTGCTCAAAAAACTCAGCAAAATGCAAGGTTTGACCAAAAACTAAATTCCCTTATGAACGGCAGTGTTAGAAGAACTCTGGGTCTTATAAGGCCGTTCAAAGTACGTTCATATGACATTAAACATAGCTTGCGTGAAGACTTTTTGAAGCCAGTAACAAATATCGGTGAGTAGTAACAATTTACGTAAAAACTTAAATATAATACATTGTTTATAATGCTGATCATAATTGACTATTATCTTATTTACTGATTTAGTTGAAAGAATCCTCAATGAAACAAATCTCAAAGTATTTATATACAACGGACAACTAGACGTTGTTATTCCAACTTCCAGTACGCTCGCCTGGATTGAAAAACTACATTGGAATGGCGCTGAAAATTGGAAAAAATCAGAACGGAAAGCAATCACTATTGATAATTACATTGAAGGCTACGTACAAGGCTTCACAAAGTTAAAGATGTTCTGGATTAATAGAGCTGGTCATATGGTACATTTTTCAATTCCATATTATAAATTTAATATCGAGAATTTTTTAAATAATTCTTTCATTGTATTAATTGATTATTCATTGCAGGTACCAGAAGATAATTATCAAGCAACACATGTAATGCTCCATATGCTAACTAATGCATCATAATTCTTCTATTATTTTTATGAAAAATTATTCCCCTTCTGTTATTATGTATTAATGTATTAATTAATTCCTATGTATGTAGTAATAAATTTCTAGATTGTACAATAATTTGATTAAAATAAAATTTTTTAAACTTATGAAATGTAAAAACTATTCTTTAATATTATAAACTTTCTTACAATACATTGAAATGTTGAATTATGTTTTTTTTCCACCTTATATTTTAGACTAAAATGTTTTATAATTAATTTAACAATCATTATTTTCTCTTCATTATAAGGAACAATTAAAATCACTGAAGATTTTATCGAAATTTTTTTTTATAACAAAAATTTTCCAATTATTGAATGAATAAAAACAAATTTGAACCAATAAACAAAGTTTCATAAAAGTTATCAGAATATTCAAGTATTGTACGGATTATATTTGAAATTCTTGTAATGCGCGTCCAAGTAATTGTATTTTGGCATAAATTGATTAATGTTTTGAAAATTTTAATATAAATGAGAAAAAAAACTTCTTTAATTAATCGAGTGAATAAGTTTTTTTTTTTTTTTCAATTAATATTCAATATTTTATAATTGATAGTGATTCTTATTTTTGTTAACGATATTTCTCATGATTGAAAAAGTAAATAACTATTTGAAATAACAAAAAATATAAAAGTTAAAAGAAATTGACTGAAAATTGAACGCTAACGGTAAACACTTTCTTAATTGAGAGTTACTTTATAGTTTTTTAAATTGACGTGATTTTCGAGACTCGTCGAGAGCTGGGAAATCTCTGCAATTATCAAGTACAAGTGAACTGGCTGAACCTTTGACAATTTCGGATATGGTCGAAGGGGGACGAAGAGTTCGTGACTTTAAAAAAAAAAAAACATAAATTAATAATATAAAAAAATTCTACAAACACACAATTGCATAGAATAAATGAAATTTTACCGTATCCGCTGATCCATATGATGATGTAGATGAAGCAGCTGAAGAAATAACAACTGTTGGTTTTGGTTTTTGAATTTGACTGTGGTCAATGAACAGTATATCTTTTCCTTGTTTTTTGCGTAGCTCTTCTTCTTTTCTACTGCGCTCTGAAACTTTGAGACGATAAGCTTCTGAAACCTGATGCGAAAATTAAATAAAATAATTAATTCAGCAGTGCATATGTAAAAATTAATGACCATAATGATATTTAAGATTCATACCCCAGTTTCAGATTTAATCACACTGACTTTTTCAACTTTTTTAATCGTCATTCCATGTACACCAGATGCTACTTCTTCATCAATTCGGTACGGACGATGCTTTCCATTGATCATATTAATACCCAAAATCAAGCAGCAATAATCACAAATTGCGTAGCTCCACTGAGTTACAACAGACTGGCTGCAATGTTCACTAGTTCCTTCAATATTTCGATGGTACTAATTTGAAATTGAAGAAAAAAAAAATCTTAAGCTTGAAGATATTTCAATAAAATGAAAAATCAGCGTCACAAAAATAAACAAGCTTAAATTATATTGACATTCTTAAGTGTTTTTTTTTCCACAAAAAAAAAAAAAAAAAAAAAAAAAAAAAAATTAGTAAAATAAAAGTTATAAAACACATTTAACTTACTGCACACTCAATATTGGATGTGAAAATAAAGGCATCCTTATCAAATTCAGCTTCTGCTAAACTAGCGCGATTACTTTCTTTTGGAAAATTATCGTTTAAATGCATCATCAAAGTACCAAATAAATAATCTAAAGAGTACAGATTAAATGTATTGTGTGGAACTCCTGTAAAAAAAACTCAATTATTATTTTAGTTTTATTACTAATTACTTTTTAAAACAAAACAATAAATATTTACCAGCAGCTTCGGTCATCCGGTTCAAAAAGCAACGAACAACATTTTCTATTCTTCTTGTAGTGTACAAAATTGGTAACTTTTGTCCAGATGCGCTTAGAGTAGGTCTGTCTTGAGATGTCAAAAAATTGTGAAATTTCGTGTACAAGTCTTCGAATTTTGTTTCTGGGACATTGTTATTCACGTCAATTTTATGAGTCGCATCGCTGTGCTCCATAGCTTCTCGAGTGTATCCTGTTTCAATTTTAATTTTGAGAATATCCTGGTAGATTCGTTTAATTCCTTCATTCAATCTGAATTCCACTACAGCAAATTCGGCCGGAATGTAGTCTACTGAATTGTCTTCGACATTTGTTTTAGTGTAATACCAATTAACGTGAATAATATAGAATGGTGTTTCCTGCAAATCTGAAAAAATTACAATTTTAATTTTCTTATCAAGTAACGAATATTTTTTTAGAGCGATATTTAACTCTAAATTTTTTTGGATGAATTTAATTATATAATGGAGCTTGAAGTTATTCTTTAAAATATGAAGATTTATCAAAATTTTTTCTAGACATTTTTTGAGCTTATTGAATGAAAATTTAAATTAGTTATTAAAAAATAGTTATAGTACTTTTGTCAATTATTATTATTATTATTGTTATCATCATCATCATTATTATTTTTTTTTATTTAATACAATTTAATAATACCCACCACCTAAAGAATGTGCTTGAGAAACAACATTATTAATGTGTACTTCCATTCGGGAGAGATAATCACGTCGTTCTTGTTCTCGCTTTTCCACTAATTTCAATGATTCTCCAATTCCTGTGAGTTTTTCCTCTGAATTTCCTCCGCCTCTTTTGTATTTCGCCATCTCATTGTATCTCTTTTTTTCAGCAAAACTCAAAGCCTGTAAAAATTTATTTTATTATAAATTGGATCGCTGCATTTTTCATTGACAAATTGTATAAAATTGAACATAGCTAAGATTCAATTTTAATATTGAAAAAATGAATTAAATATTACATTAATGCAGTCAGCAAAAAAAATTATTAAAAAATTTACAAAAATTATAAAAATGATCAATACCCGTGAATTTGAGTATTGATAAATTTACTAAAGTTATCAATAAATTATAAATATTAATTTTAAAAAATTAATTATTAATAAAATTTAAATAAAAAGATTTAAAATCTAAATTAGTGCAAAAGAAGTACATTTCTACAATAATAAAAATTATTGGTCGACTACAATTTTCAGTATCAAAAAATTTTTAACAATCAAGACAGCTGACTCGCGACAATAGAATCGTAGAAAAAAAAAGTACACAAAAAAAAACTTGATGCTTACTAATTTCAATATCACACATTTTGATAATTTTTTGTATCCACAAAATAAAAAAAAAAATACCTATTAACTAAAAAAATTTGTAAGTACTTTAACAGTTCACATAACAAGTAATAACAAAGAAGACGAATATATAATTCTATAAAAAAAATGAACAATGTTTACCAGCGATTTTGTGAATTTTCGACATGCATTTTTTTTATAATTTTTTCGTTCAAAAATCAATGAGCATCTTCTCACTTTTATGTCATCAAAAGTCTTTGTTCTAATTTACGTCATAAAAGTTTTTCTAACCTAACCACAATTTTTTAATTGTAAGAATGGTTGATACCTAAAATAAACTTTTTTTTAACCAACTGACAATCACTTTAAAAAATACATGGAGCTAAAAAATCAAAGCAATAATCTTTAACTTATTTATAAAATAAAAATACCAAAAATTAATCAAATGTCATTTTAGACCAACAAAAAAAACATGTAAATTAAGAGACAACTATCAAATGAAAATTAAATTAGCCGACATCTAAAATTTTTATAATTTTTTTTAATAAAAAAATAATTACAAAAAAATAAAAAAAAAATTTTTCATTTGTAGAAAAATTGAAAAACTATAAGTGCAATTTTTAAAAGTTAATTTTTAGTTCTAATTTATTAAATTAAGCAAAATCAAAAAATCAAAGATGTCGGTTAACTTTATTATTATAACTATAAAAGTAAATAAAAATTTTTGACAAAATCCTTTGTTCTTACTTTCCACTCTTGCTCGCATTTACGATCGTCTCGAATTTGATTCAAGTCGATAGTTTTACCATTATTTTCTTCAGCTTTTTTAAAATCCAACATAAAATAATAAAATCCACTTTTCTTCTTTTTTTCTGGCATTTTAACAATTGTTTATTTACTAATTATTAATAATGATTTAAAAACTCCTTGTAACAGTATTAAAGCAAATAGTTGATTCAGAACCAGCTACTTAGGAACAAGCGGACGTCACGCGAGGCGAGCTTGTCAGCTTGTGTTGACTTGTGCTTGAACTCGAACTGGGAGCTGACTAAAACAACAAAGAGTGGAGGAGATAGAGGTATATACAGTGGAACAGGGCGATTGTTGCTGGTGTCTAGCGCTCGGCTCTCGGCTCGGTATTAACGCTGGTAGTTCGATCAAGTTCGATTTTGGTCACGCGCTTTACCCAACCACATACGATTCTTTCTTCAATATAACTGAATTGTCATTCGTAAATACTTTTCGTAGTTTGTTAGCCCGTAGTCGTGTCCGTCAGCTTCAGGCAAACGAAGCACAGTTATAAGCATACATTAGTTTACTGTCGTCTTGCTTCGCGCCAAACACCCGAGTCGCTTTCGTCGTGTATTTCAGTAAGTTGCGCTACACAGAGTTGAACGTTTCAGCGAAATTTTATGTAAAATATGTCAAGTTTGTATCGTTACTAAATCCTAGAACTTTTGCGGTAGCTGTTTATTAATTTATAAAAAAATTTTGTCTAAAAATCGAGACTACATATCCGTTTTATTTTATTAGAAAAGCAAAAGGTATCCGCGCGGCATCTTTGTAGTTTGCACTCGACATTTGGTGTTTTTTTTTTAAAACATTAGATTTATTTTCGATGTCACTAGTAGTGTTAAAAATTGTAGTTGACTGAAAACAGGCTGTTATTTATATATTTTTAGTGTATCAAATAATATATAACCTAAATATTTGACACCGTTGGGTATTTTTTTTGAGAAACAAGTAGTGGTTAATAACTTAGCAGGTAAAAAAATTTTTTTTAGTATTTTAATTAATGGTTAAAAAATTAATTCAGAACAGTGAAGGTGCTGAAATTATAAATTGTTATTGCAGTATGTACACAAAGTCCCACAGTTGATCTAAATTTTATTGAAACTAGCTGAGTTTTTATTGTTACCAAATACTGGTACTTTTGGAGCAACTAATTATAAATTAATAAAACATAAATTTTTTGTTCACAACGAGACTTTAATGGAGCAAAAAAAATACACAGCCGTCCCAAATAAATTATTATTAATAATTTTTAAATAATTATTAATAATTTTTAAATAATTATTAATAATTAATAAATTAGGTATAGAACTCCGTTAACTATAAGTTATGTATAAAATTTAAATTACTAAAAGTAGTTTGAAAGATGTTCCTAAGTCAAGAGGAGCCGTTGGGTCAGCAGGTAAAGGATGAGTCTAGAGAGCGAGACGTCTACGGTTCGAATCCCCCCTCTCGGGACCAATTTTTTTTTTTTTTATGGACCTGATTCAGTCAGACATGAACATACCTGTTCACGTCTGATCATACCTGCTCATGCCTGATCAGGCATGGTCATTTTTCCCGCGTTTGCCAGGCATGGAAAAGCATGATCATGACTGATTAGTTCTGATGATGCTTGGTCATGCATGACCATACAAGCTCATGTCTGGCAAATATACATGCATGACATTAACGCCTGATCGTACATGTTCATGCATGATGATTTTTTCCCGGGAATGTAATTTAAAAATTAAATACAAATATTTCTCATTTTTAAATTAACATATTGAATATTTATAGTATTATTTTTAGTATTATTCAATAATATATTATAAATCTTTGAATATTTCAACTAAACGCTAAAAATTTTTGGTGTGCCATATATTTTATTAGTTCAACTACTGCTCCCAGAGTGTTCAACTACTGCGGCTTGTCAGAATTGATTGTTCAACTACTACTCCTTTCATAGTATATCTTAAAAACGTTGTCAAATTATAAATATTCAATTATTTGCGTTATTTTGCACTTCAATCAATTCAAAATTGTTTATATTTTCATAAAAATCACTCATTTGAACTAATAATTACATATTTATATATTAAAAGTAGGGTCAAATACGTTTTACTTTGAAACCTGTTCAACTACTGGGTACTTTACCTTATAGTGTTACAAATTAAAGTTCACTAGAAACAAGCTGTTATTTGAATATTATTGTAATTTACTAAATAATTTCAACTTAATATCTTGTACTGTTGAGTATTTTTTTTTTAATTTAAAGTTTTCCCGATAAAATAAACTTTTCAAGTATCTCAATTAATAATTTAAAAATTTCGATTAATGATAGTTTAGGTGTGAAAATTATAAGGACAAATAAAATATTTAGCTACATAAGTAATTATTAACGCACTGATAGAAAATTTATGTTGACTCAAGAGATATTTTCTTAATCTAAGAATTTATTTTGGAAGACAAATGATTATCTTGCTCTAAGAATTTCTTGTCTTGATTTAGATTTTTTTGGCTTAAGAGCTATATTATCTTCAATCGATACATTTAAGTTTTTCAATCAAAATAACATTATCGTTTAAAAAACTCTAAATAATTCATCAAAGTATATTTCAAAAACTAAATAGTCTTTAATTATTATACCAAAATAAAATTATTTCTTGGAAATAAGTAGATTAATGAGTCAAAAAAAAAGCCTTTCTTAACACAAGTCGGTAACATCTTGAATCAATGTTATCCCCTATCTTGAACCAAGAGACAAAAATTCTTGAAACAAATATATCTATATCTAGTTTCAAGAATTCAAGTTTTGAAGAAAAAAAGTTTCTTGAATCAAAATTGTTTTTCTATCAGTGTATACAATCCTCGTTATATTTTTTTCCTATTCATGATGAAATCTACTTCCATTTCGGCTGCCGAATGGTCTTTTTTAAACTTAAAAAGCTCAAAAGTTTGTTGAAAATTTTTAAAGCGTTTTGAGCTCGAATATTGGCAGAAGTTCCAAGGATGGATGGCCACAAGGTCAACCGCTTTTCAAATATTTTTTTTGCTCCATCTTGATATAGACGTCACCAAAGTTAAATTTCTTCGAAATCATCTTGTTCATAGCTTATATAGAACCCGTTCTTGGTGTTACAAATACCAAATTATCGCCCTTTACGTTACACTAATCGAGATGGCAGTGCGCACAACGTTGCTAAATCAATATTTATCAAAAACTAGCTGAACCTGACAGACGTTGTCTTATCAAAATTTCACAAAATGTGTATGTGACCGTTCCATGAAATAGCAAAAAAGCTTCTGAAATTGTATCTAGGAGTAAAAAAAAATAAAAAGGTCTATCAGATTGTCTGATATCAGGAGATTCTTCAACAAAAAGATCTCTCAAAAACTTTGGTTCACCAGAATTTATGAGCTTACAAAAGAAATAGGCAAGACAATATGACCTTTTGGATCTGATTGTCAGCCAGTTTAGGGAGCGTTTATATGGTGTAATATGCTCATCACGTTTTCAATTGAAAATGAACCTGATTGCATTGTTCATTAGGCGTTATAATTTATAGTCCAATCTTTTAGATGAATCAACCATGACTAGCAAGCAGTATTCAATAATAGAAATGATAGTAGCATCGATAAAAGTTTTGTTGTAGAGGAAAATAGTATGCTTTTCCTGTGTTTCAAGTTTTTTAGAGTAGCATAGACCTTTCTAGCAGTGTGAGCAACAAAATAAAAAAATTCTGGAAAAACTTGGTCTTCTTTTTAAGGGATTTTTTTATAAATTAATGATCATGACTAAGAATTTGAATAATAGATATCAGTAATTCATTTTTGTTTTAGTTATTATTTATTTTGAAAATATTTTCAAAAATCAATAGATTGGATTTATCGTTTCTAGCATTTAGAATAATCAAAAGTGCATACAAAAAGTAAGAAATTTTTCAGAATTTTCCACTTTTTTTTCATGAACAAAAGTTGCTTTTGTTTTTTGGATAATATTCCTAAAGAGAAAGCGAACGAAACAGAAAATAAATAACGGATATCTATTCTCCAAATTCTAAATCATAATCATTGATTCGTAGAAAAATCCCGTAAAAAGAGAAAATTTAGTTTTTCCCCGATTTTTGAATTTTCCGAGCAAGCCTTGAAATGTTTTTGTTTATAAAAACATAAATTGGACTCGTACGAACATATTTAAAAAAACAGCCCAATCATTACACATTCACATTGTAATATTGTGAAAAAACATTTTTTTGTTAATACTTTTTTACATTTTAGTTTATTAAAAAAATATTCTTCTTTTTTTTTTTAATTCTGACCACAAGGAAAGAAATTTTCTTTAAAAATAACCGTTAAGTTCATTGATCATGGGACAAAATGCGGCCTTTTTATTTATTACCATTTTTGAAATTAAAATTACGAACAAATTCATCTATTTAACGGTGGAATAAATGAAATTTACCGAAGTCCAAATAAAATTTACGGTATACTACGTTAAAATTTGTTGAAAACAAGTTAAAAATTGAATGAGCGTTATGAAGCGTGCACGTTTGGATTTTCCAAACTTTTGAAAGACTAGACCTAGATTACGATGTTACTATTGTAATTTTTATTTTAATTTTCTTTCCGTGTATCAATGATAAATTATTTAATAAGGTTATTTTTTATAATATTTAATTCATATGTTATAATTGATTGCATATTTATTTGAAATTTGTTTGTATCGAATACCTCATCAAGAATAAAATTTTGTCAATTTTTAACACATTTTCTTCTTTCAGGGTATCACAAATTGATGAAGCAACCGTTCTTAAGAAACAAGCTTATCTTCTATTTTATGAACGAGTTTTATGATATAAAATATAATTATTTGTATGGATCTGTTTTATTTTGATTATTAATTTGTCATGAGATACTTACTGTAATATTAAATGATACAGTACCTAATACGTTATATGAATTTGTTATTATTTTACAATATAAGTACTTCAACTTCCCACTACAAAAATCAATTATATTCAATAATTGGAAATTTTTCGGTTTCATCACTATTTTCGAAAGTCGAATTCTCATCATCAGATATCAACGTTTTGAGGTCCTGGGAA